TGCTGCAGCCCCCCTGACTCACCAGTCAGTGCCACCAAGTGCGGCAGGCAGAGGCGGTTGGCGAGGATGATGAGCTTCATGTCGTCGAGGTCGGGGCTGGAGCTGAACTGCCCGGTGTACAGGTACTCCAGCACCGCCCGCATGCAGCTCTTGCTGGTGTAAGGAAGGGCCACCTGCCAGGCACACACCTGCTGTCACCCTGGGGCTGCTCCCACCTTGCCCACCCATCCCCAGGACAAATCCCACGGGCCGTTCCTCACCTCGTTGGTGGAGCTCTCCACGAAGGGGCCGCCGAACATGGCAGCCATCCAGTCGCAGCTGGAGATGAGCAGGGGCTTGTGGGCACTGATAGCACCATCATCCAGCACGAAGGTGACATCTGGGGACAAGCAGAAGGATGCTACCAGGACTGGCCCCATCACCCAGGACTTGGCCACCACTCCCTGCTACCAAACATCACCAGGGGACAGCAGAGGGAAGGGGACAGAGCCTGGCATAGCCTGGAATGTGTCCTAAAGACCTCTTGGGTTTTTTTGATCTCAGCATCTTCCAGCAGCTCAGAGGAGCTCAGGGAATGGTCCCAGTGGAGCTCCAGCTCTCCTGAGGGGTTTTCCCAAGGCATAGCACCACACACTGGAAAGCAAAGGGAAAATCCCAGGAATCAAAGGTCTCACCCAAGTTCTTGGGAGGGACGCTGGGGATCTCCTGCCTGCTACTCTGCTCTCCACCCTGGAGCTACCTTCTCCCCGAGGTCACTTCTCCTCACCAGCACACAATCTGTCCCCTGACAGTAACAAATTGACCACGTCAGGGTCCACTGTTGTGAAATAAATTCAGGCAGAGGGAAGCTGGAACTTTCACACCCCACCCCCCCCCGAGGACGTCACCCCGGCGTGTGGCACTTGGTGGAAAGCTGGGGAAGTCCCACCAAGGGCCCGTTGCTCCTCATCAGCCAGATGACCCTGTGAAAATCTGGGCCCAGGAGGGAAGGAAGTTGCCTGTGCTGCTCTCGTGAACAGGGATATCAGGAGAGCAGGAGGCTCTGAGGAAGAGCCACAGCTTCTCACACACTTGGCTGGGCAAAACCCAAAATGCTCTCAAAATCCCCCAAATGCAAAGCGTGACCAAACCCCCAGGGAAGGAGACTCAGCAGCACCAGCACGGCCACCCCAGGGTGAAGGCAGGAGGTCTGAGCCCCCCACCCATCCCCCAGAAGGGAGAAGGGGTGCTAGGGGGTGGGTGCTCCTTCCCCTTGGCTCAGAGCCCTACCTGAGAACGTCCCCTTGGCCAGGCATTCCTTCACCCGGTTGGTCCTCCGGACGTGGAAGGCTTTGGTGATCTCCTGGTTCATGAACGCCTCGTTGTTGAGGATGTTGGCCACCATCATCCGGAGGTCAAACACCTCCAGCAGCTCAGCAATGTGAGCAATGTGCATCAGGTCCCTCTCCTTCTCATCCAGCTCCCCCGTGTACAAGTATTTCAAGACAGCCCGGAAAGGACCCGGTTGAATCGAAGCGTCCATCTTCACCACCACCATCAGCTTGGACTTGAAGGTCAGCGGGTCTTCTGCCATCTCCTCCTGGATGCTGGTGAAAGCCCTGCTCCACGAGGAGAGGTCCCTCCCCCTCCTCAGCCCACGCTCCCCGTTCCCGTAGCGGTTACCCCGCAGGATCCCATCACTGGTGGAGGCTCTAAGGCACGGTTTTCTCTGGCCAGGTCCTGCCTCCTCGGTGCTCTCACAGATATCAAAGCTGGCAGCTCGGAGGAGGAAATCCCTCCCATGGTGCCTCTCCTCTTGGTGCAACACCCGCTCGGCGGCCGCCCCGAAGCCGTGCCCCGCCGTGCCCTGCTGGTCCTCCTGGCTCAGGTCCATGAGGAACAGGTCGTAGAACTTGGAGGAGGAGGTGGAGAGGTAGATCTTGTGTGCGTAGATTTTGATCTTCTCTTGCAGCACCAGGATGACGTCCGCGCACAGGGGGTCCTCCAAGAGGTGGGCCGGGCGTTCCTCGTTGTTGGAAGGAGGGTCCGGGACCATGATGATGGGTGGGGGGGGTTTAGGGGGGAGGAAAGGGGCTTGGAGCAGGGGTCTCTGGACGTTGCGGAGGTGGGACTTCCAGAACTGGAGGTGGCGGCGGGAGATGAGGGCGGCGCGGATGGCGTTGTCAAAGACATCCTTGATGCCAAACTGGGCCACCACGCTGGTCTCGTAATACGGGATCCCCAGCTCCTTGGCCACCTCCCTCCCCTTCTCCGGGGGTAGGATCTCGTTAGGTTTGATTGGCCTGAAAAAAAAAAAACCAAACAGAAGGGGAGGTGAGGAAGAGAACCTCTGCGTGGTGAGGAGGAAGCGTTGGGAAGGGCGTTGGGAGGTGGGAAACAAAAGGAGCCCCACCTGGCCAAGGGGCGCCGTGCCCGGTTGACGGCCTCCAGGTCGGCGTAGCGCAGGTCGAGCTGGCAGCCCACCAGGATGACGGGGGCCCGGGGGCAGAAGTGCTTGATCTCAGGGTACCACATGGTCTTCACATGGTGCAGGGAGTTGGGGTTGGCGATGGAGAAGCACAAAACCACCACGTCGGACCTGCCAGGAGGAGGAGAGGAGGGTCAGGGTCCGGCTCGGTGATGAGAACAAGCCCGTTGAGGTTCTGCGTCGCCCTCCCTCCTTGCCCAGGGTGGGGGGAGGTTTTTGCCCTCCCTACCTGCCATAGGCGAAGCGTCTGTCTTTGTGGTGGTCACCAAAGGTGTCCCAGAGCCTCAAGGACACACTGACATCATCTACCACATCCCGGGAGCGCTCCAGCACCTATAGGGAGAGGCAACACCATCCAGCTCCTGAGTCCTTCAGCCTCGCCGTCCCCACCCTTCCTGCAGCTCCATCTCCTCTGGGGGTATCTGTGAGCCCAGCCACCCCGAGACCCCTGCCCTCACCTCCTGGCAGACACGGTACTGGTCGATGGCCCAGACAGTGGGGACATGGGTGGCCAGGAGCTGGTACTGGGTCAGGGTGGCGTTGCAGGCGCGGGCACAGATGAGCCGGGTCTTGCCCACCGCGTTGTCCCCGACCACGACGCACTTGATGGTTTCTACGTTTGGCCTCTCATAATCCATGTCAGAATCCATTAATTGGGACCTGTAAGGGGTGTCAGCAAATACTGGGGAGGTGTCTTCGGATGGGGTGGGGTGGCAAGGTGGGGGGAAAAGAGAAGATGATGCAGATCCTCCTGCTCGGAGCCCCCAGCCTCTCACAGCCTGGGGGTGGG